TCCTCCTCCTCCTCCTCCTCCTCCCTTCTAGTAGTGTTGATATTACCTAGTTGGTTCATGAAATGTCTGCAAGGAAACAAAAGTTCAGAGAGCACCAAGGACCCCACAGTCTTCCTCCCCCTCCTCTCCACTACCCGTACTCCCTACTAACGCTGGTGATGTTGCCTAGTAGGGTCATGAAATGTCTGCAAGAAAAGCATCAAACCATCCCCTTCCTCTTCCCCCTCCATTGTGCAAACTCCAACACCCGCTCGTAAGTGCCCACCGAGTAGGATCAAGATGGTGTGGTCAAACCACTCTTGACTGTTGTGAGGACACTCTGCAGACACCCCCCAGCCTGACTGCTACCTGTCTTCCTGTTCTGATGTAAGCTGTTCCCCTCTTCTAGAATCCAACATCTAGGAGCAGAAATTCATTTGATCAGAGATCTGATGGATCCCACAAATGGTGGAAGGCACGACTTCCTCTTGACAGCACTGGAGGTAAGGAGGGAGGGAGGGAGGAAAGGAAGGGAAGGGAAGGAAGAAAATGAAGGAGGGAGGGAGAGAGGGAAGAGGAAGGAAAGGAAAGATTAGGAAGGAAGGAAGGGAAGGGAGGGAGGGAAGGAGGGAGGAAGTATGGAAGGAAATGAAGGAAGAAAGGAAAGATGGGAGGGAGGGAGGGAGGAAAGGAAGAAAGGAAAGAAGGGAGGGAGGGAGGAAAGGAAGGGAAAGGAAGGGAAGGGAGGAAGGAAGGGAAGGAGGGAGGGAAGGAAAGGAAGGAAAGAAGGAAGGGAAGGAAGAAAGGAAAGAAGAGGGAGGGAGGAAGTATGGAAGGAAATGAAGGAAGAAAGGAAAGATGGGAGGGAGGGAGGGAGGAAAGGAAGAAAGGAAAGAAGAGGGAGGGAGGAAGGAAAGGAAGGAAGGGAGGATGGAAGGGAGGAAGGAAGGGAAGGAGGGAGGGAGGGAGGGAAGGAAAGGAAGGAAAGAAGGAAGGGAAGGAGGGAGGGAGAAAGGAAGGATGGAAGGAAAGGAAGGGAGGGAGGATGGAAGGAAGGAAAGGGAAAGAAGGAAGGAAGGAAGGAAGGAAGGAAGGAAGGAAGGAAGGAAGGAAGGAAGGAAGGATCCTTCCCTTCCATTGTATTTGCAATGGAATCCTTCTTCATCTACAACTAAACTGGATTTGTAAATTTTCCTCTCCCAAAAAAATGTCTTTTAATTGCTATACAGCCAGATTGAATTTGGAGCCTTTTCAATCCACTGTGTAGCATTTTCCAAAAAACTTAATTTTAGTAGATGGCAAAATTCAATTTTTTCCTGATGATGGGAGTTTTTTCTCAGCATTTATGGGATGGTTGGAGAGGAAGCTGAGACTGAAGTGGAGGAACACAGAATAAACGCAAGATTTTTAGTTTCTAATCTCCAAACTCAACTCTCCTTCTTGTTATAGTCCTGCTATCAGCTTATCCAAGAGATACGACTACCTTTGAATTGACGAACGGCGTGTGACTCCTGAAAGACTACACAACCCATCATCAACAGCCAATAGCAGCTGGAGAACTTACTCTGATAATTCCCAGAAACTGGACTGGACATAGTTGCTGCTATTGCTTATTTTTAAAAAAATTAGTATTTGTCTTTCCTATGGGAAGTGTGTTCATGCTTTTAGGGGAGCTGTCAATTTCTTTGAAATTGAGTCAATGACGGGAGTTTTTCTGAAATTGACAGAAAAGAGATTGGGTAAGGTAGTCCTTGACTTACAACTGTTTGTCACAACGGCTCTGAAAAAAGTGATTTATGACCATTTTTCTCACGTAGGACCGTTGTAGCACCTCCATTGTCTTGTGATCAAAATTCAGACGCTCGGTGACTGGCTCATATTTACGACGGTCGCAGTGTCCCGAGGTCACGTGATCCCCTTTTGCGACCGTTCTGAATAGCAAAGTCAATAAGGGAAGCCCTATTCCAGTGATGGCGAACCTTTTAGAGACCGAGTGCCCAAACTGCAACCCAAAACCCACTTATGCATCACTGGGTGCCGGGTGGGTGTGGCCCATTGGGTGGGTGTGGCCCATTGGGTGGGCGTGGCTGCGGTGGTAACAGCAGACTGGGTGGGACTAAAAAGTTCAATCAATCAATTCCAACTTTGCAAGATCTTTTTTTTTCCCACGAGAAGTTGAAATTGACTGATTGATTGAACCTTTTTTTTTTTTGCACATGGCGGCGGAGGCCTAAAGCGAAAAAGTTTTATAAAACCCAGCTGAAGGCCTAGGACTGGGGCAACGGCGCACGTGCCCACAGAGAGGGCTCTCAGTGCCGCCTCTGGCACCCGTGCCATAGGTTCGCCACCACTGCCCTATTCGCTTAACGACAATCGTGTGACTCAACAACTGCAGCGATACAAGTTAATAAAAATTCAGCAAGTAAATTGAATAAACGTTCAGTAAATAAATTCAGTAATAAGTAAAGAAATTAAGTAAAGAAATTTGGTAAATAAGTAAACTCAGTAAATAAATTTAGTAAGCAAATTCAATAAGTTTAGAAAATAATTAAGTTTACTAAATTTAATAAATATTTTTTTTTAAAAAAATCATTATCACGTGACCATGGAACTGGTCGTAAACTGCCAAGCACTCTCAATACGGTCATGTGACCTGTGGGAGGGGGTGCCCAACGGAACGGTCATTAAGTGAGGACTTCCTGTAAGGAGATTCAATAGAATAGTTTATCCTCAACTTACAACCATAATTGAGCCCAAAATTTCTGTCGTTAAGTGAGACATTTGTTAAGTGAGTTTTGCCCCATTTTATGACCTTTATTGCCATAGTGGTTAATTTGCTTGATAAATTAGTAACCAGGTCGTTAAGCGAATCTGGCTTCCCCCATTGACTTTGCTTGTCAGGTTGTAAAAGGGGATCATGTGACCCCGGGACATGGCGACCGTCATAAATATGAGACAGTTGCCAAGCATCCCAATTTGGATTGTGTGACCATGGGGATGCTGCCAAGGGTTGCAAGTATGAAAAACGGTCATAAGTGCCGTAACTTTAAATGGTCACTAAAAGAACTGCTGTTAAGGGCTACCTGTATAATGTTTTTCCGTGTTTTTTGTACTTTTACCTTCTGCTAACATCTTGTGGGTGTATTTTTTCAAAATCCAAAACCTGCAAAATCCGACATCCACTCCGTTTTAACAGCTTAATGGTTTTTTTTTTCTTGAGAGCTGCAGTTCATTGAGGGCAGAAATCTAATTTTTCTCCATCCTATTTTATCATCCCTTGCTGCTACTACCAATTAAAATAGGAGAAACAGGATCCTATGGATGGAGGGAATTAAGGATCTCAAGATGATCCACCAGAGGGAGGGGAAAAAAAATTCATTTATGAAGTTGCAGAGACATGTGATTTTCTACAACTACTGACATTTCTTAACTGGATGCTAAATTCTGTGGGGGGTTTTAAAAAAAATTTTTGCAACAGGTTTGGTTTTGAAAAAAAGTAGACTGGGGAGCAGGCAAGTTTAATGTGATAAGCATTTAGCTTGTTTTCTCCACAGTCAACTTCTTTTTAAGTATCAGCTTGAGGATTTCTCGGCAGTTAGAAATGAAGTGTTAATTTTTTACTAATTAACTTCAGAGGAAATTCTGGCCTTTTGTAGAATTATTGACTGGGTTTTATATTTTTAAAAAAACGAAACAGTAATAAACTGCCTGTGTTCTCAATAGTGATCTTGTTTATGCAATAGGTTAGATAAAAGTGAACTACAATGTTGGGATAAGTAGAAAGGACCTGGTGTATAGCAACATTTTATTGGGGGGGGGGGGGGCATTTTTGCACCCTTGGAAAGAAAGGGAAGGAAAAGATGGAACGGAGGGGCTGAGGAAGGAAGGAACAGAATAGGGCAAGTAAGTAAGGGAGAGAGGGAAAGACTAAATGTAAGGAAAAAAGGAGGGAGGGAGGAAGGAAGGAAAAGAGAGGGAGGGAGGAGCTGAGTGTAAGAAAAATAAAAGAAAAAAGGAAAGGAAGGAGGGAGGGAGGGAAGAAGAAATTGAGTAACAAAAAAGGAAAAAAAAGGAAGGAAAGGAGGGAGAGAAGAATTGAATGTAAGAAGAAAAAAGGAAGGAAAGGAAGAAGATCGGGGGAGTGAAGGGACTGAATATAAGAAAAAAAGGAAGGAAAAAGGCAGGAAAAGAGGGAGGGACTGAGTGTAAGAAAAAATGAAAGAAGAGGGAAGAAGAGAAAAAAGAAGGAAAGGAAGGAGAAAGGGACAGGAAGGAAGAAAAAAAAAAGGACAGAGGGAGGGAGGGCAATTTCAGGAAGTCCACCCATCTGGTTGACACACGCCCTCCTTTTTCACCCTGCAGTATTTTCAGCCCCCAACTCAAGAGCGACGGATTGAAAAAAACCACAGAAAGCGAGAACGTTTAATTCCTTTATTATCTGTTTTCTCAAAGAGCAGTTATATCAAGAACTCCAGATGCTCTGGGAAAACACCCCCGAGGTCTGAGCCCGCTTCCGCTCAGGGTTAAAACAGGCCCCGCCAGGAACATTTAGTGGGCCACAGCTAAGAGGAAGGACAGGTCCCCAGCCAGTCCCCATTCAGAAGGAAGCCTCTACGGTTGGGGTGCACCTACAGACACTCCCCCCCCCAAGGGACATCCTATGAGTAGTTTTGAGCCCTTATGGCATATGGACTAGTAACGCTTAGCCGTAGCGACAAAGCTATCTTATAACTATGCTCAAACTTGAAGTTGTGGGGTCCTTGGTGCTCTCTGAGCTGGGTGGTTTTCTTGCAGACGTTTCATGACCCAACTAGGTGGCATCATCAGTGCTAGATAGGAGTAAGGTTTGTGGAGAGGAGGAGGAGGAGGACTGTAGGGTCCTTGGTGCTCTCTGAATTTGGTGGTTTTCTCGCAGATTTTTCATGACCCAACTAGGGAACATCATCAGTGCTAGAAGGACAACATAGGGCAGTGGTGGTGAACCTATGGCACGGGTGCCAGAGGCGGCACTCGGAGCCCTCTCTGTGGGCACGCACGGCATCGCCCCAGTCCTAGGCCTTCAGCTGGGTTTTATAAAACCTTTTCGCTTTAGGCCTCCGCCACCATGTGCAAAAAAAAAAAAGGTTCAATCAATCAGTCAATTTCAACTTCTCGCGGGAAAAAAAAAGATCTTGCAAAGTTGGAATTGATTGATTGAACTTTTTAGTCCCACCCGGTCTGCTGTTACCACCGCGGCCACGCCCACCCAATGGGCCACGCCCACCCAATGGGCCACGCCCACCCGGCACCCAACGATGCATAAGTGGGTTTTGGGTTGCAGTTTGGGCACTCGGTCTCTAAAAGGTTCGCCATCACTGTCATAGGAGGAAAAGGAGGACTGTGAGCTTGGTTGCCTCCTTGCAGACGTTTCCTGACCCAACTAGATAACATCATCAGTGCTAAAAAGGAGTATGGTTTTTGCTCTCTGTTTATATGATTGCCATGTTGGTGGGAATATTCTTGGTGGGTCCTGAATATAGCAAATTAACACTAGATTAACATCCAAGTTGTAAATCACATCCCAATCAAGGAACTAGCAAGTTAGATAAGCAATCAAACAGCAAACAACAGCGTAATCAAGGCCACTCCCACCAACGCTGAAGGATAAGCCATAAACAGACCAAATCCCTACTCCCTTCCAGCACTGATGATGTTCCCTAGTAGGGTCATGAAACGTCTGCAGAAAACAACCCAGGCTCAGACAGCACCAAGGACCCCAGAGTCCTCCTCCTCTTCCTCATTCTTCTATCCACAAATCCTACTCCGTTCTAGCATTGATGATGTTACCTAGTTGGGTAATGAAACATCTGCAAGAAAGGAACCAAATTCCAAGAGCACCGAGGATTCCCCTTCCTCTTTCTCCTCCTCCTTCCCTCTGCAAACTCCACTCCTTCTAGCACTGATGATGTTCCCTAGTTGGGTCATGAAACGTCTGCAAGGAAACCACCCAGCTCAGAGGGCACCAAGGACCCCACAGTCCTTTCCTTCCTCCTCCTCCTCCTCCTCCTCAAACCCCACTCCTTTAGTAGCACTGATGATGTTCCCTAGTTGGGTCATGAAACATCTGCCACAAAAACCACCAAGCTCAGAGAGCACCAAGAACGGCATGGATTATTCCTAAAATATACACTAAATTTTGTGCTGTCCTTTTTTAAAGGAAGGGATACCCTTCCACCAAGCAACTGTTGTAGGTTAACATATGGAGAGTTAGTCTGTTTCCCCCATTTGTCGCTTTGAAGGAACGCCTCCTACGATCTCCAAGTGGTCCCCTTTCCTTTTCCCCCACTCGCAGCTTGAGCAGTCTCCACGTTTGCCCATCGCATCTGATCAAGGAGGAAGAGAGAAAGTCGGGACTCAGAGGGACACGGAGCAACCTCCATCCTAACCGTGGTTGAAAAGTCAGTTCTTGCTCCAGACCGAGCCTTTGTTCCTGGGGGGGGGGGGGGAGCTGGACTAGAAGACCTCCAAGGTCCCTTCGAACCCTGTTAATTCTATGTGCTCCTCGTCTCTTCCATTTCTCCAAGGATGGCTCTGCTCCAGGCCTGGAGCTGCTGAGAAGGATTTCAGGAAATCTCGGGGGTTTTCTTTTTTTAAATAAAGGAAGGAAGGAAAAAACGGGAACCCTGCTGATTTCAAAAGCCCCTTGAACTCAAAGCAGAAAGGTGAAAAGCAGCCCTTGAAGCCGAGAAAGCGAACATGGCTTGTAGAAAAAGTGGACACCCTTGTCCACATGCCACCTTGGGCCACTTAAGACCCACGACAACCTTTGTCTGGTCTCTGAAAGGTTCGTGCTAAGCCTGAGAAAAAATGGCTTCAAGCAACAAATAGGCAATTTCCACCCCCCCTTCTTCCTTTTCTCTCTTTTCCAAAATTTCCCAAAGAATCAAAACAAAGCAGTGTTGCTAAGAGTACAAGCTTCTATAGACATCCATATATATATATATATATATATGTAGAGAGAGATAATGATTCAGAATTAAGTTCTATCGAGTTCGATTCGGCCAGAATTAAATTAAATAACCAGCGGTATCGCAATCCTATGACGCACTTTTGCTTTTCAGCAAAGTTTTTCCTACTCTCTTAAATTCTCTAGTTCACCCCCTAACGCCATCTCTACACTAGCGGAGCACAGATAGTCCTTGACTTACAACAGTTCATTTAGTGACGGTTCAAGTGGCTTATGGCCGTTTTTCACACTTAACCACTGCTGCAGCATCTCCGTGTCCATGCAATCAAAATTCGGACGCTTGGCAACCGACTCATATTTACGAGTCCTCTTTTTGCGACCTTCGGACCAGCAAAGTCAACGGGGGAAGCCAGATTCATTTAACAAACGGGTGACTCACTTAACAACTGCAGGGATCCCCTTAACAACGGTGGCAAGGAAGGTCGTCAAAAGGGGGCAAAGCTCACTTAACAAATGTCTCGCTTAGCAACGGGAATGTTGGCTCAACTGTTAAGTCGTTAAGTCGAGGACTACCTGTACAACCTATAGCGCAGTGGTTCTCAACCTTTTTAATGCCGTGACCCCCAACCGGTCATAAGTCGAGGACTAAACCGGTCGTAAGTCGAGGACTACCCAACCAGTCGTAAGTCGAGGACTTTCCCTGCCCGGGAGCGCCGCGCATACGTGGTTCCGCCCCCTGCGCCGGCCGAGGCGTAGCTGGCAAGCGGCAGAGACGGAGCAGGCCGACCACCAGCTGGCCCAGCCCAAGGGAGGTAAGGCACCCGCCGGAAAAGGGGAAAAAATGGCGGACAAAAAAAATGGCGGAAAGCCTTGCTTGGCGACCCCCATGAAATGGTCGATCGACCCCAAATGGGGTCTCGACCCACAGGTTGAGAACCACTGCTGTAGCGACTCTTTTAGCTTTACCTTCTAAATTCTCTACCGCTGCTTTTTGCACGTCAGCCTCTTCAAAAAAAAGCGATTTTTTTTTCGTGCTGGCAACTTTTAAAAAAGGGGTGATCGAAGAAGAAGAAGAAGGAAGAAGAAAAAAGAGAGACAGAGAAGAAGAAGAAGATAAATATTCATAGGCAGCCAGCTAGCAAGGGAAGGTTGCTTGCAGACCGGAAGTGCTTCTCTAGCAAAAGAGGCGGGGGTGGGGGTCTCAGAGCAGGGCGGTGTCGATGGCGGCCTTCAGCCTGAGCAGGAGGGCCTGCGGGGGAGGGGAGAGGGCTTCGGGGTTGAGCTTCTTGAATTCCTCGTTGGCGTTCAGGGAGGCCAAGACTTTTGCGGTCCTTTTGAGGTCGAACACGGCGTGAAGCATCCCCAGGCTGGAGAGGGCGGCCCTGGACGAGCGCTTGGAGGCGTCGTCCTCGGAGTGGTGGTGCTCCAGCACAAAAATGCGATTCTCCCCGATGATCTTCAGGAAGTTGTAGAACTCTTTGTAATCGATGCCGGTGTAGGACTTCATCAGCACCTGGGGAAGGGGAAGGAGAGACTCGGCTGAAGTAACCGGGACATCACCCCCCCCCCGGGAGGAAAATATATATATAATTAAATGAAGGGTGTTCAGCGAGGTTTTGCTGAAACGGGATGGGATGGTTTGGAGCTTAATGGTGTCTTCGCTCAGGCCAAGAGGCTAAGCTGTGGTTCTGCTCAGGTTTTATTCCAAAAAATATCCCGAACTTAGAATTACGTTTAGAATATTTTGAATAAAACCTGAATAGAAGTTGCTTACAGAAGTAAATTCTTTCCACAGGAGCAATTATTGGACATAAGAATGACAGACAGACAGACAGACAGACAGACAGAGACAGAGAGAGACAGACAGAGAGAAAGGGAGAAAGGGAGAGAGAGAGAGAGAGAGAGAGAGAGAGAGAGAGAGAGAGAGAGAGAGAGAGAGAGAGAGAGAGAGAGAGAGAGAGAGAGAGAGAGAGCCTGGCTGAGGAATTCTGGGAGTTGTAGTCCACTAAAAGGGCCAAGTTGGAAGACCCCTGCTGTAGGCAGTCAAAACAGAAACGCGCTTTAACGTGTCCTGTCTCACTGCAGTTACAACGTGTCTGGTGACAGATAGTCCTTAACTTACAATCATTTGTTTAGTGACCATCTGAAGTTACAGTGGCACTGAAAGTGACAGGACCATTTTTCACACTTCCGACCATTGCAGCATCCCCACAGAATCGCACAATCCATATCTGGATGCTTGGCAACTGACTCACACTTAGGACTGTCACAGTCTTCCGGGGGGATGTCACGTGATGCTCTTCTGCGACTTTCTGAACAAGCAACTGTCAGCGGGGGAAAGCCAGATTCACTTCATTAACTGAACACCTGCAGTGACTCACTTAACCGCGGCAAGACAGGTCGTAAAAAGGGGCAAAACTCACTTAAAGAACTGTCTCGCTAGGCAACAGAAATCAGGGGATCAATTGTGGTCGTTAAGTTGAGGAGTACCTGTATTCTGGGGCGGGGGGGGGGGAGGAGACAGATTCCTGGTGAAAGGCTGAATTTTCCCCAGGTGTGTTTTACCTGGCATTGCAGGTGCCAGTCTTCCATGCTCTCTTTCCACTCTTTGATCTCCCGCTGGACGGCGGCGAGTTCGTCCTGGAGGAAGCTCCACATGATGGCCAAGTTGCAGCCGTTCACCCAGTTGTGGTTGATGGAGATGGTGTCTTCCTGGGAGGGGGCAGAAAACCGGAAATGTTTATTCCCCCCTCCGAGCTAGGGCACCTGGGAGAAGGAGAGGAGGGGTAGGGGTGTGTGTGTATGTGTGTGTGTGTATGTGTGTGTGTGTGTATGTGTGTCGCTATGGGTCGACTGCTAGCCTAAGGGACTGAATTCCTTGAAGAATTAAGGTGGGCCCTAGGATGAAAATTCTGTTCACCGGTCCATTGAAAGTCAAATATTTCACCGCAGAAAAGGATTAGGTTTCACAGGGTAGGCCACCTTGGCTCTTTTATGACTGGTGGACTTCAACTCCCAGAATTCCTGAGCCAGCCTGGCTCAGCTTGGAAACCTCTCCCTTTCCCCTCAGCATGGCTGGCTCAGGAATTCTGGGAGTTGGAGTCCACACGTCATAAAAGAGGCAAGGTGGCCTAGCCCTGGTTTAAAAAGAGAATTCAACTCGTATTGTGGATCGGGTCGAGGAAGACAGGAAGTTGGGGGATGAAGCTGGAAATGTAGGGCTGAAACTTTGGCATAAAAGGGGGCTGGGTGACTTTGAGCCAAAGAGCAAAGTTAGACTTAAATACTACTTCACCATGCTTCACAGCCCCCCCCTAAGCAGTTTACAGAGTCAGCATCTTGCACCCCCCAAATCTGGCTCCTCATTTTACCAACCTCGGAAGGATGGAAGGCTGAGTCAACCTTGAGCTGGTGAGACACGAACTGCCGAACTGCTGGCAGCCGGCAGTCAGCAGAAGGAGCCTGCAGTACTGTAACCACTGCACCACCAGGCCTCAAATACCAGGAGACAATGAGTTCTAGTCCTGCCTTAAGAATAAAAAATTGGCTGGATGACACTGGGCCAAGCCTAACAGACAGTTTCTTGGTGACTGGACCGAAGTCATCAAAGTGGCTTTCATTGCTAAGGTGGGACTAGAATTCACCGTCTCCTGGTGATTGACCTGAAATCACCCAGCGGGCTTTTGTGCCTAAGGCGGGACTAGAACTCTCCCTCTCCTGGTGATTGGTCCAAAGTCACCCAGCCGGCTTTCATGCCCAAGGTGGCACTAGAACTCCCCGTCTCTTGCTGATTGGCCCAAAGTCACTGTTGGCTTTTGTGCCTATGGCGGGACTAGAACTCACATTTTCCCAGTTTCTAGCCTGCTGCCTTAGCCACTAACCTACAAACTGGCTCTCTTGCTTTTCGCTTATCTATATAAATAAAAATGTAAATGTTCATTTGTTCAAAATCTTAAATCTCCGAAGGTTCTTCACCGATTGCTTTGAAATTTTGACACAACGTTGCATTCGAATACGCGCGCGTTTTTACATACCTATATTATATAGATGTCACACCTGTGACAGGTAAAAACATGCTTTTGAAAAACAGCACCATCTGTTGGACGTAAAAGCAACACACGCTTTTACCAGACTGAGCCACAGCAACATGTGGCTGGGTACAGTTATATCGATAAAAACAGAATAGAATATCTTTATTGTCATTGTGTAACTCACAACGAAATTAAGTAAAATAAGCTGAGCCACGTGCAACCAACTCTGAGCAGCCACAATTCTTTAATGCGGCATCAGAGGAAATAATGCCCAGAATCTTGTGGACTCCGTGATGACATCTTCCTCTCGGTGGCCCTACAACGAAAATGCACGCTACCCAGCAGCAGCAGCAGCCACGGGTGTGTGTGTGTGTGTGTGTGTGTGTTTCTACAGATTGTGGTTTTCAGAAGATTCTCACCAGATTGTAAACCTGATGATGCCAACCGCTCGGGATGAAGACTATCTCGCCGGCTTCTTGTATGATTTCGACCGGGGGGCTGCTCTGAGCGTAGCGGGGATACAGGGAGCCGTTCTTCAAGTCGGGGGCCGTGATGTCAAATGGCAGGTGGCCGTGGCGGTCTTTTAGAAACTCTTCTTGGCCTGGGGGGAAGACCAGCCATTTCTTTTTGCCACAGATGTTGGCTGACCAGCTGTAAGAGCGGAAAACGTCGGCGTGGAAGGGCGTCCTGGCAGAAAAGGGAAAAGATGGGACAGGGGAGGAAGAAGTAGGTGGACACACTGAGTAAGAGGGAGACTTGACCGTGATGTCTCAGAAGGTGGAAATTGAATTCCTCCTTCTGAAGGCAGAGTTGCAGATCCTTGCAAAGTAATAATAATAATGATAAAGTTGGAAGGGACCTTGGAGGTCTTCTAGTCCAACCCCCTGCTCAGGCAGGAAACCCTATACCATTTCAGACAAATGGCTGTCCAGTCTCTTCTTAAAAACTTCCAGTGTTGGAGCATTCACCGCTTCTGGAGGCAGGTTGTTCCACTGGTTAATTGTTCTGTCAGGAAGTTTCTCCTTAGTTCCAGGTTGCTTCTCCCCTTGGTGAGTTTCCACCCATTGCTTCTTGTCCTGCCTTCAGGTGCTTTGGAAAATAGCTTGACTCCCTCTTCTTTGGGGCAGCCCCTGAGATATTGGAAGACTGCTATCATGTCCCCCCTCGTCCTTCTCCTCATTAAACTAGACATACCCAATTCCAGCAACCGTTCCTTATATGTTTTGGCCTCCAGTCCCCTAATCATCTTTGTTGCTCTTCTCTGCACTCTTTCTAGAGTCTCAACATCTTTTTTACATCGTGGTGACCAAAACTGGATGCAGCATTCCAAGTGTGGCCTTACCAAGGCCTTGTAAAGTGGTATTAACACTTCACGTGATCTTGATTCTATCCCTCTGTTAATGCAGCCCAGCACTGTGTTGGCCTTTTTGGCAGCTGCAGCACACGGCTGGCTCATATCTAAGTGATTGTCCACTAGGACTCTGAGGTCAGAAATATCCTGGGCTAGTTTGGGATCATCAGGGCCTTAGAGGATGGACGCTCTTTTTTCATTTTCTAGATGTTTCGGGAACAGATTAACCTCTGATAGTGTAGCTCAAGCTTGGCCACTTGAAGATGAGTGGACTTCAACTGCCGGAATTCCCCAGCCAGCATGCTGGGAATTGCAGAGGTTGGCAAATAATGATCTAGGGCAACTTTCTGAGCTCTGAATTGGGGGAGGGGAGGAGATGATGCAGAAGAAGGAGGAGAAAGGGAGGGAGAAGACAGACAATGAGGAGGAGATGAAGGAGAAGGAGAAGGAAAAAAACCACAATGAGAAGATGGACAATGAGGAGAAAATGGAGAAGACAAAGAAGAAGATGGACAATGAGGAGAAGATGGAGAAGACAGACAAGGAGAAAGGGAACATGAAACAGGAGCAGAAGATAGGCAAGATAGGAGAAGATGGAGAAGAAAGACCAAGAGATGGACAATGAGAAGCTGGAGAAGACAATGAGAAGGAGAACATGGAGGAGGAGGACGAGGAGAAGATGGAGAAGATAGACAATGAGGAGGAGGAGATGGAGAAGAAAGACAAAGAGAAGATGGACAATGGGGAGAAGATGGAGAAGAAAGACCAAGAGAAGAAGATGGACAATGAGGAGAAGCTGGAGAAGACAATGAGAAGGAGAACATGGAGGATTTAGGCAATGAGGAGGAGGAGATAGAGAAGACAGAATGAGAAGATGGAGAAGAAAGACAAAGAGAAGAAGATGGACAATGTGGAGAAGATGGAGATGGAGAAGATGGNGAGAAGATGGAGATGGAAAAGACAATGAGAAAGGGAACATGAAACAGGAGGAGGAGGAGATAGGCAATGAGAAGGAGAAGAAAGACCAAGAGAAGAAGATGGACAATGAGGAGAAGCTGGAGAAGACAATGAGAAGGAGAACATGGAGGATTTAGGCAATGGGGAGGAGGAGATGGAGAAGACAGAATGAGAAGATGGAGAAGAAAGACAAAGAGAAGAAGATGGACAATGTGGAGAAGATGGAGATGGAGAAGATGGAGAATGGGGAGAAGATGGAGAAGAAAGACAAAGAGAAGAAGATGGACAATGAGAAGATGGAGATGGAGAAGATGGGCAATGGGGAGAAGATGGAGATGGAAAAGACAATGAGAAAGGGAACATGAAACAGGAGGAGGAGGAGATAGGCAATGAGAAGGAGAAGAAAGACCAAGAGAAGAAGATGGACAATGAGGAGAAGCTGGAGAAGACAATGAGAAGGAGAATATGGAGGAGACAGGCAATGAGGAGGAGAAGATGGAGAAGATAGACAATGAGGAAGAGAAGACAGAGATAGAGAAGAAGGAGGAGGAGGAGGAGGAGGAGGAGGAGGAGGAGGAGAAGCTACTTCTATGGTGGGCAAGCTGGTTGGGGAAATTCTGGAATTTGAAGTCAACTGGCCAAGGTTTGAGAAACATTGAACTAGTATTTATCTTCAGGTAGAACAGAGGACCCTGATTCCTTTGAGTGGCCACACAATTTTCACTCAGAAATGCTGGTGTTGAGTGGATGTGTGAAGGGTAGTCCTTTGGGTGTGTGTTTGTTATAAACTAGATCTATGTGATCACTGACCTGGATGACTGAGAATCTCCATAGACACTCAGTTACAGGGTTGATGGGGCACCATTGGAGGAAGCCTTGAAGGACCAGGCTGGGTGAGAACACCCTGCAGAAAACCTATCTAGGAGCTCACCAAGAATCAACCACAACTTGATGGAACATCATCACAGTTATTATAAACAAACATTTCCTTCCCCCAAGGAAAAAAAAAACAATCAGGAGGTAGTTCTACCATGAGCCTTTAGGTCCCATGTAGACAAACCGGTAGTCATCCACAGCGATGGCTTCCCAATACTCATTCAGCCAATCAGAGGAGAAATAGATGGGCGTGGTGTAGACCTCCTGATCCGGAAATGTCCTTAAAGAGACAAGCATTATGACAGCATTTGAAACCTGCGCCAAACCAGAGCGTATCAAAGGGCAGATGGTGGTTTAATATCTTAGGACTATCCAGCCAAACAGATACAGGGAGTCCTCGACTGACGACCACAACCGAGCCCAAAATTTCTCTTTTGCTAAGCGAGACAGTTAAGTGAGTTCTGCCCCATTTTACGTGCCACAATTGTTAAGCGGGTAACACGGTTGCTAAGTGATTCCGGCTTCCCCACTCACTTTGCTTGTCAGAAGGTCAAAAAAGGGGATCACATGACCCCAGGAGACACTGCAACTGTCGTTAAGTACATGCCGTGGGGCCAAGCTGACCCTCTGACTGTGGGGATGTTGCATGGGTGCAAGGTGCCTTTTTTTGAACAGTTATAAGTCGAGGACTGCCTGCCTGTATAAGGGTGCTACGACATGGAAGAAGGAAGCACGCCCGTGCAGCACAACCGTGGTGGAATTCAAGAGGTGTGCAAATTATAGGAGGAGGAGGAGGGGGAAAAAACAACAAGACAGAAAATAAATAAATAAAAACGCATTCAACGCATTCAGGAGGAAAACAACGGCAGGTGGAGTGAGTTCATCACGAAAAAAAAAAAATGCAAATTAAACATGATTCCTGCAGCTTCGGGCAGAAATCCGTGCTGTGGGTTCCTGATGAGACAGAGAGAGGCAAATTAAAACATGATTTCTTCTGAGCAGGTTTTGCATCAGGAGCAGGAGCAGCCGAGGCAGCTTTTGGGGAGGGGGGGGGAAAAAGATCATCCACCGAGGGGACTTAGCGGCATGCCGGTCATCTGTGGTGAGCATGCCGCCCCTGTTTCTCCAAGCCGTGGCTTACCTCTGCAAATGCCAGTCTTTGAGATAAAGGCAGCCGCGGGCGGAGCGATAGCTCTTTTTAATGTGTTCCTTCCAATAGTTTATGTACTCCTTGAGTTTAAGGTGCTCCTTAGGGTTACAATTGTACTCCTTGGCATCACAGTTGGCCACGGGGACCACAGCCTCGCCTGCAATATAAACTCTTTCAGCCCACTGGGGAGCTTTTTTTTTTTTCTTCCCTTCCTCTGGGTCAGGGCTGAAGGAGGGGTTTTGTCTGGGAGGACCCCCCCCCGAGAGGGCACGCCTATGGGATGGCCACCAAGAGGAAAGGTGTTCTCTCCTTTTCTGAGTGCTGGGGAGGGGAGACAGAGGACAGGGAGAGGAAAGGAGAGAGGGAGGGAAAGAGGGAGGGAAGGAGGAGAGAGGGGGAAAAGAGAGGGAGGAGAGGAAAGGAGAATGGGAGGAAGAAGAGAAGAGAGGAGCGGAGAGGAGAGGAAGGGAGAGTACGCAAGGAGAAGAGAGGATGGGAGAAATGGAGAGGAGAGAGGAAGAGAGGGAGGAGAGAGGGAGAAAGGAGAAAGAGGGAGGAGGGAGAGAGGGAGAAAGGAGAGAGAGGGAGAGAGGAAAGGAGGAAGAGAAGGACAGAGGAAGAGGAGAGAGGGAGGGAAAGAGGAGACGAAAGGAGGGAGGGAGGAAGAGGGTGAGGAGAGGAAGAGAGAGAGGAGAGGACAAGGGGTGAGGACAGAGGGAGCAGAGGAGAAGAGAGGGAGGGAAAGAGGAGAGACGAAAGGAGGGAGGGAGGGGCGAGGAGAGGAGAGGAAGAGAGGAGAGGAGTAAGAGAAGGAACAGAGGAGAGGGAGTTCACTTCCCAGTACTCTCCTGCCAGCGATTCTGGGAGTTGAAGTCCCCACATCTTAAAGTTGCTAAGGCTGAGAAATATTGCTATATATATATTGCTATTATTGCTATATATACTATATTCTTAGCAATCCACTCTCCTGGACAGAAGCAGGCTTGCTTCCAATTTGTGACGGCCCCGAAATTGCAGGAGCATCTTGAAGTCGGCCCCAGATTTTCAACCAGGCAGAATCTGTGGCCTGTAGCAAAATCAAAAACCACACACCGCAAATCGCCACCGCCGTCACCACCACCACCACCACCTCTTGACAAAAAAAAAACAAGGTTACAGCCAGTTCTTTTCAACGGAAAGTCGGCTTACCGAACGTCCGCAGGAGGTAATCCAAGTTGGGTTTCCCGTCCGGCGTGACCCACTTCCTCCGGCTGGCCCAGCCCTCCGTGAACTTGGCGGAGAAGATGCAAGGATCGTTGGGGATCAAGTAATCCTTGAAAAAATCCGCGTAGCTGAACGTCTCCGGCTTTTCAATGTAGTCCACATGGTCATGAGGCTGGCAGGCGGCAGCGCCCCCGGTCGAGCCGCTGTAGTCACGGAAAAATTTAGTGGCATGCGCAAAAGTCTCCCTGTCCATTCAGGCGAGGAGGACAGATGGAAGGAGACTAGTCCCTATGAAGTAACTGGACTGGGATGTCAGAAAGTTGTTTTGTTTTTTTTTAAAAAAAAAATGGGGTCAGGGAGGAGAGCAAAAATCAGGAACGACGAAGGGAGTAGAAAACAGAGGTCCAATTCCAGACCTTGCTGGAAAATCGTCCCATTGGGCTCGTGCGAGGAAGGGCTCAAATGTTCTTTGCCGTTTGGGCTCCTTGAGGACTAGAATGGTTGAGAGGCAGATCAGCAGGACGTCTGTTTCCAGCAGAGCGGTTTTCCTTCAAAGCTGGAGGAAGGAGCGGGGTAATTTGGTTCTTGCTTCTCTCTGGCATTTCCTGGAGAGCCGTGGTCAAGGAGAGGGTCTTCCCGATTTCTGGGACCAAACAACAAAAACAATCACTTTTAACACCACTTTACCAAAGTTTCATAGTTTCATAGTTTCTGATGGCATGGGGAAGTCAGGGGAATTGCAGGTAGACCTCAAGTTACACCACAATTGATCCCAAAATCTGTGTTGCTAAGCGAAACATTTCTTAAGTGAGTTTACCCCACTTTATGATCTTTCTTGCCATAGTTGTTAAGGGAATAATTGCATTTATTAAGTTAGTAACATGGTTGTTAATTGAATCTGGATTCGCCACTGACTTTGCTTGTCAGGAGGTCACAAAAGTTGATCACTTGAGACCATGGGATGTTGTGATCGTCATAAATATGAGTCAGCTGCCAAGCGTCTGAATTTTCTTCATGTGACCGGGGGGGGGGGGATGTTGCAACAGCCGTGAGTGTAAAAAAATGGTCAAGTCACTTTTTAGTGCCGTTGTAACTTTGAATGGTCACTAAATGAATTGTTATAAGTCAAGGACTATCTGTAAATTTTCTAGGTCACCTAGTAAGTAAATATGTTTTATATGTATGAAAACGTGTTCTAGGTGACCTAGAAAATTTACAGATAGTCCTTGATTTATAACAATTCATTTAGTGACCATTCAAAGTTACAACGGCACTAAAAAGCAAAGTCAATGGGGAATCCAGATTCAATTAACAACCTTGCTCAATAGTAGTAACTGTGAGAGGGATCTCGGAGTCCTAGTGGACAATCCCTTAGATATGAGCCAGCAGTGTGCTGCAGCTGCCAAAAAAGCCAACACAGTGCTGGGCTGCATTAACAGAGGGATGGAATCAAGATCTCGTGAAGTATTAACACCACTTTACAATGCCTTGGTAAGGCCACACTTGGAATACGGCATCCAGTTTTGGTCACCACGATGTAAAAAAGATGCTGAGACTCTAGAAAGAGTTCAGAGAAGAGCAACAAAGATGATTAGGGGACTGGAGGCTAAAGCATATAAGGAAAGGCTGCTGGAATTGGGTATGTCTAGTTTAACGAAGAGAAGGACGAGGGGGGACATGATAGCAGTCTTCCAGTATCTCAGGGGCTGCCCCAAAGAAGAGGCAGTCAAGCTATTATCCGAAGCCCCTGAAGGCAGGACAAGAAGCAACGGATGGTGAATGCTCCAACACTGGAAGTTTTTAAGAAGAGACTGGACAGCCATTTGTCCAAAATGGTATAGGGTTTCCTGCCTGAGCAGGGGGTTGGACTAGATGACCTACAAAGTCCCTTCCAACATCATCATCATCATCATTATTATTATTATTAATAATAATAATAACAACTACTACTACTGCTACTACTACTACTATTATTAACACTACTGGAGGTTTTTAGGAAGAGACCGGATAGCCACTTCTCTCAAATGACGTCCAAGGTCCCTTCCAACTCTGTTTTTCTGTTATTTATAATCTGCATTTCCAGAGCATGAGTTTGTTTGTTTTTTAATTCAAGGGTATTGTCTGATCTTTGCAAACTGCCTTTTACAAATGGGAGGAAGTGGATCTTTAAATTTTATTCCTGCTGTAGCATGCTCCTGATTTGAGTGCTTCTCATCGCAAAATATGTTGAAGTTTAAAAAAAAAAAAAAAGATAAAAATTTGTCCCAGGGCCAAACAATGCCTGGTTCGTCTCCAAGATTAATTGAACCAATTGCTGGCATATCCGCTTTGCAAGCAGTGACCTCAAACTGTCAATCATAGGAATGCAACTTTCATAAATCCAAAGCAGACAGGATTTGCCCTGAAATGAAGAATCAACCTCACACCTGAAAATGAACAGGGTAAGTGGGAGTACACAAAAGATGACTCACACACACACTGCTGCCCTCACTGTGGTGTCATTCCAGCAGGATGGCATAACCATGAAAAATTAAAATTAATCACGGCAAAGACATGCATTTGCAAAATGACCCACGTCATCCCTTCTTCAGACCGAAGCTGACATTCTTTGAATCCTTTGTAATGGCAGAATAGCCCCAGGAATCAGGTAGTCCTTGACTTACAACCATTCATTTAGTGACCGTTCAAAATTATAACAGCACCAAAACAAGTGACCTATGACAGTTTTTCACACTTACAACCGTTGCAGCATCCCCAGGATCACGTGATCAAAATTCACACGCTTGGCAACAAACTCACATTTATGACGGTTGCAGCGTCCCGGGTCACGTGACCCCCTTTTGCGACCTTCTGATAGACAAAGTCAATGGGGGAAGCCGGATTCACTTAACAACCGTGTTACTAATTTACTAACCGTGTTACGTAAAACTGCAAGTGATTCACTTAACAACTGTGGCAAGAAAGGTCGTAAAATGGGGCAAAACTCACTTAACAATCTTCTTGCTTAGCAACAAAAATTTTGAGCTCAATTGTGGTCATAAGTCAAGGACTACCCGTGTATTTCCTGCAAAGTCAGTCTCCAAGTGAGCATACAAAGTAAGATTTGTTAGAAAAAGGCTTGAGATGTGTATATTATATGTTATTATAAACCCTATATAAATATTTTAATTATTTTTTTATCCTCCCTTTTTAAGATATAACTCAAGGTGGCAAACATCATTAATAGTGTATAGCTACTTCCTGTTTGCCCCACCACAACAATCCTGTGAGGTGGGCAGGTTGAAAGAGAGGGACTGGCCCAAAGACACCCCTCTTGAAACTTGAGCAAATATAATCACCTTTACAATATTTTATTTTTTTTATATTTCAAGTTTTAACTAAAGGCAAAACCTTTAAGAAGATTATATCAGCAAATAATTATTACTAAATGTCATGCACAGTTTTTTAAAAAAATTACCAGAAACAAACAAACATCTCTCTATAATACTACAAGGTGCCAATCTATAGGTGGCTTGTGGGCAAAAGGCCTGCAGGGGGGTGGGAGATGGGAATTGTAGTCAATTACTTTCTGGATTGAGGGCATGGGAACTGCAGTCTAACGGCTATAAGGGATCAGAGATGGGAATTGTAGTCAATTAGTTTGTGGACTGAGGGCATGGGGATTGCAATCTAATGGTTACAGGGTGGAGGGGTGGGAGTGGGAGATGGGAGTTGTAGTCAATTACTTTCTGGATTGAAGGCAAGATAATTGAACTCTAATGGCCACAGGGAGTGGGAGATGGGAATTGTAGTTAGTTTGTGGACTGAGGGCATGGGGATTGCAATCTAATGGTTACAGGGTGGAGGAGTGGGAGATGGGAGTTGTAGTCAATTACTTTCTGGATTGAGGGCAAGAGAATTGAATTCTAATGGCCACAGGGAGTGGGAGATGGGAATTGTAGTTAGTTTGTGGACTGAGGGCATGGGGATCTAATGGTTACAGGGTGGAGGGGTGGGAGTGGGAGATGGGAATTGTAGTTAGTTTGTGGACTGAGGGCATGGGGATCTAATGGTTACAGCGTGGAGGGGAGATGGGAATTGTAGTCAATTACTTTCTGGATTGAGGGCAAGAGAACTGAACTCTAATGGACACAGGGGGTGAGAGATGGGCATTGTAGTCAATTACTGAGGGCATGGGAAACGCAGTCCAATGGCCACAGGGTGAGGGGAATTGTAGTCCGGCTGCTAGCTTGGGGAAAGAGGGCCACCTCAATGAGGTGCTGCTCCAGCAAACGGCTGGGAATGACGGGGACTCTGAGGCGAGAGGTGGGGATGATGGGACCTGTAATCCAACCCTTCAAAAAGCAGAACAGCTGAAAAGAGGCCCCGCAGCCCCCCTGCCCTTCCTCTCAGCTTCCCCCCCCTCCATTCACCCCTCTTTTCCTTCAGCTCCCCCCCTCAGCCGCCCCTCCCGAGCCTCCCCACAGCACGCGCATGCGCCAACTTTCCCTCCCCCCCCATGACTAACCCGGCCGCCGCCGCTTCTTCCTCTTCTTCGGACCCCTCAGAGGACGCGCCCAAATGGTTGCGCATGCGCCGTGCGCTGGCTCGCGGGCGCGCCTCCTCCTCCTCCCCCCCCCACTACCGCCTCTCAGGCAGCGCGCGTGCGCCTCGGTCTCTCGCGGGCCCGGCGGAGCGCCTGCGCGCGACTTCCCAATCGAACCGGCGCGCCGGGGTTTGCGCAGGCGCGTTGAGAGCGTCGTGAGGCGGGCGGAGCGATGGCGGGTTGACGGCGGAGCGGATGGCGGCTCCTCTCCTTCCCGTCCGCCTTTCACGAGCGACCGGTGAGGAGTCCCGGTGGGCACGACCCGGGGATGTGGGGCGGGTTGGTGCTGCCCTGACGGAGCCCCCCCCTTCCCCGATATCTCGCGGTGAGCGCCTCCTCGGGCTGGCGCAAGGGCTGTCGGGAGTTGTAGTCTGAGGGCGGGGGAAGCCTAAGGAAGGAGGGGAGAGGCCCAGGCCTTCGCCCCCCCTTCTGTGTCGGGCAGGGCAAGGTGGAGTGGGGGAGGGGACGGCAGTTTGGGGGCTCTTAGGCCCCGGTTGGTGGTTGGGGGAAGCCTCTGGAAAGGTCAAGGCAAGGGGGGGGGGAGCTGTGAGATTCCCCCAGTTGCCCCCATTTAATGGGGAAGGGTCCCCCCTGGCCCCAGGAACAGCTGATCCAGATTAACTACTAGTCTTGAAAATCTACGGTGAAACAGGTATTCGCATCCAGAACAATTGCAAATAACAATGGCAGATCACAAAGCAGCACAAGACATCATCACACAGTACTATAGGTAGTATATCTGTGTGTTTGTGGGTCTGTGTGTGTGTGTACCAATGGCAGATCACAAAGCAGCATAAGAGATCATCGAACAGTATAGGTAGTATATCTGTGTGTTTGTGGGTCTGTGTGTGTGTGTGTATTAATGGCAGATCACAAAGCTGCATAAGACATCATCAAACAGTATAGGTAGTATGTCTCTGTGTTTGTGGGTCTGTGTGTGTGTGTACCAATGGCAGATCACAAAGCAGCATAAGAGATCATCGAACAGTATAGGTAGTATATCTGTGTTTGTGTGTCTGTGTGTGTGTCTGTACCAATGGCAGATCACAAAGCTGCATAAGACATCAAACAGTATAGGTAGTATGTCTTTGTAGGTCTGTGTGTGTGTGTGTGTGTACACCAATGGCAGATCACAAAGCAGCATAAGACATCAAACAGTATAGATTAGGGGTCTTCAAACTTGGCCCTTTTATGACTTGTGGACTTCAACTCCCAGCATGCTTGGCTGAGGAATTCTGGGAGCTGAAGTCCACAAGTCATAAAAGGGCCAAGTTTGAAGACCCCTGGTATAGATAGTATATCTGTGTGTTTGTGTGTCTGTGTGTGTGTGTACCAATGGCAGATCACAAAGCAGCGTAGAATATCAAACAGTATAGATAGGGTGTTTGTGTTTGTGCTTGTGTGTGTATCTATGTATACCTATATATATACCCAAAGCAGAGCAACTAGATCAGTGATGGTGAACCTTTTAGAGACCGAGTGCCCAAACTGCAACCCAAAACCCACTTATGTATCGCCGGGTGCCGGGTGGGTGTGACCGACTCGGGCGCAGCTACAGTGGGCATGACAGACTGGGTGGGCATGGCCACTGGATGGGTGTGGCTGCAGTAGTCATGGCAGACTGGGTGGGCATGGCCGGGGTGGGCGTGGCTACCTCGATGTTGCTTATGGGGAGGGACACCTGTGGGAGCCGGGCAGGGTTGGGGGAGATCCAGGAGGTCTCTGGTGGGTGAGATGGTGGGCTCCCCAATGGCGGCTCCAGGCTGGCTGGCCTTAGGCCAGTGATGATGAACTTTTAGAGACCACGTGTGCTGGGGTGATGGCGCGTGCCCACAGAGAGGGCTCTGCGTGCCGCCTCTGGCATGCGTGCCATAGGTTCGCCACCACTGAACTAGATTCTGTAATAGCTTTATACAGGCAGTCCTTGAGTTACGACCACAATTGAGTCCAAAATTTATGCTGCTAAGTGGAACAATTGTTAAGTGAGTTTTGCCCCATTTTATGACCTTCCTTGCCACTGCTGTTAAGTGAATCACTGCAGTTGATAAGTTAGCCACACAGTTGTTAAGTGAATTTGGCTTCCCCCATTGACTTTGCTTGTCAGGAGTTCGCAAAAGGCGATTACAGAATCTGGGATGCTGAAACCATCATAAATATGAAGCAGTTGCCGAGCGTCTGAATTTTGATCACGTGACCCTGAGGATACTGCAACGGTTGTAAGTGTGAAAAACAGTCCTAAGTCTTCAGTGCTGTTGTAACTTCAAACGGTCACTAAACAAATGGTTGTATGTCAAGGGCTGTCTGTCATTAATTTCCCACAGAGTGGGAAAAAGTAAGCACCTTTGCCCAGTGGATTCAAAATACGAAATGAATGGTTTGACTAGACATCTTACAAAGAATAATTTGCAGGTATTAGTGTAGTTGTGGTCATGTTTTGTATTTTGTATGCAATTAATATCTCCATAGATACCTATTTTACTCTTATATCTATTTATCAACCTTGTATGTCACCTGTCTTACAGAATAACACAGTTGGAAGGGACCTTGGAGGTCTTCTAGTCCAACCACCTGCTCAAGCAGGAGACCCCATACTATTCTTGACATATGGGACATTGCCAAAGGCAACTCCCAGCAAATTACAGACATTGAATAAATTGCAAAGAATAAACAAAGATCTTCAATTGAAAAAAAAACCATTTAAAATAAAACTCAGTAGGATGGAGAGTTTGGGAGTAAAGCGCACAGAGACAACATTTGACTGTATAAACATCTCTCCCATTGACCACCAATTGCTGTATAGCTAGTCCTCGACAACCATTTATTTAGGTTACCACGGCTTTGAAAAAAGAAACGATTTATTACCATTTTTCACCCTTAACAACTGTTGCAACCATCCCCATGGTCTGGTGATCAAAAATTCAGACGCTTGGCAACTGACTCCTATTTATGACGGCTGCAGTGTCCCGGGGTCATGTGTGTGATCCCCTTTTGTGACCTTCTGATCAGCAGGGTCAATAGGGGAAGCCAGATTCACTTAACAACCGTGTTGCTAACTGCAGGGATTCACTTAACAACTGCAGCAAGAAAGGTCGTAAAATGGGATAAGATTCACTTAACTTTCTCACTTAGCATGGGAAACGTTGAGGACTACCTGCATAAGTATGCTTTCGAGGAGTGACAGGAATCTCCCCAAGTCTTCCTGGGTAACGAGTGAGAGGTTTTGCCTTTAACGATCTTGTTTTCTCTGTTCTGTATTGGCATGTGTCTGTGGTACAGCTTGTACTAAAGCTGCATTTCCTGGCTGTCTCTCTAATGAATAATTTAAAATTATGTTTTTTAAAAAAACAACCAGCTGCTCTGCTTCAGAGTAAACAAGGAAATGCCCTTATATTTTAATATTTTGCTTCATGGGCAGTTCCTTGTAAGCTTCTGGAAAAAGGACTCATAAAATACCTTTGTGTAAAGTGTAATTTATTAGTTTTGCTGGAAATGTTGCATCATCATTACACTGTACGTCACTCCTTGGCAGCAAAGAAAACAACTTTTATAATTCCATAAGGCCCCCTGTTGTCCCAAAGGGAAAATCCTGGGCTAGAATGGCAGACATGAATTCAAATCCTGCCTTGGCCACGTGAAAGCCACCTGGGTGATTTCAGGTCAGTCACTTTCTATCTGTCAACCTCGCAGGGTGGTTGTTGAGGGGAAAATAGGATAAGGAAGCTGTGTTGGATACTGCCTTGAATTATTTGTGAGAATAATAAAGGCGGGTGGCACATAAAACAAAAAATAACCAGAAGTACAGGTCCTCAACTTACAATAGTTCATTTAGTGACCGTTCGAAGTTACAGCAGCGCTGAAAAAAGTGGCTTATGACCATTTTTCACACTTACAACTGTTGCAGCATCCCTTTGAACGTGTGATCAAAATTCAGACGCTTGGCAGCTGACTCGTATTCGTAACATGGGGCAAAACTCACTTAACAAATGTCTCACTTAGCCACAAAAAAAAATTGGGTTCAACTGTGGTCGTAAGTCGAGGACTACCTGTATCAATATAGGATCTGGTTTCCTGATGTGATGTTGACTCTGGTCGGCATGTGATGCCTGAGCAAAAATAATATCCTCAGTTTCATCATGTGAGAAAATGACTAGCCAGATAGTAAATAGGTGAGTTATACTTGGACAATGAATCATGAGATCCAAATATATATATATAATATTTAGTATCCTCCTTTGATGCTCATTTGCTTGTGCTATGGACAAACCATCAAATGCCTGCTTTGGACCATCATTCCCCCCCCCCCCATACCTCTTTTCTAAGTTTTAGATGTGTAGTGAATTTTATGTAGTATGATAGGTGTTTTGTTTTTGATCTGTACAATTTCGGGCAATTTTTGTTGGGCTCCGGAATCGAGAAACCTCAGTCGATAATTATTTTTAAGCCACCAGAAACTTCTGAATCCACCAACAGACCAGGTAAATGGGGGGAATTAATTAAGACACATATTCCTTGCAAGTTATTTAGTGGGTTGTGTAGAGGAGATGAAAACAGCAAACCAAGTGGGAGACCTAAATGTCTTTATTTGCTTTTATTCAGACAGGTGATCCTGTGCGCAGGGTTAAATATTTATTATTCCAACGTCTGTTCTTACTAATGAAGGGTTGAGTGTTTGAACTGGCTTTATTTAAAAAAAAAACCTGTCTTTTAGATGTAGTAGCTTTGCCAGCAGTCATTGCACTGGTGACCTTCACAGGTCTGTAAAGCAAAACTGGACACATAAGCAGAGTTGTGGTTTCGCTTAGCAACCGCGGTTTCACTTAGCAACTGCTTCACTTAATGACTGGGTTGCCTGTGCCATTTGGGGGTGACTAAACGAGGACTGCCTGTAGAGACTTAGAATTTGTTTCTGCTATAGCTGATTTGCGATTTCTTAAGTAACAAATGTGTACAGGAAGTCCTCAACGTACAACGTTTCATTTAGTGACCATTTGAAGTTACAAGGGCACTGAAAAAAGTGACTTATGGCCATTTTTCACACTTAACGAACCGTTGCAGCATCCCCACGGTCACGCGATCAAAATTCAGACCATTCGCCAAGCCGAGTTAATGGCTTGAACAATTGTGTTACTAACTTTAACAACTGCAATGATTCACTTTAACAATTGTGGCAAGAAAGGTGGTCAAATGGGGAAAAAAAAACCCTAACAAGTGTCTCACTTAGCAACAGATATCTGTGCTCAATTGTGGTTGCAAATTGAGGACTACCCGTACTCAACTTACAACCATTCGTTTAGTGACCGTTTGAAGTTACAGCGGCACTGATAAAGTGATTAAATAGCGACCTTCAGAAGAACACAGCTTCAGATATTCGAAAGTCACGATTTGGGGGATCCGGAATGAGCGAGTTGGTGCCTTAGAGTCTCACACCATTATCTTCACAGGTGTTTTGAACACAGGTGTTTGTCGCGAGGCTCATGAAAGGTGAACGGACCTTGTGTTGATTGCTCATCGCTGATTGCACAATTCATTTGACCTTTGGAAGGTGCCAGTTGTTTCCTGGAGGAATAGGAAGCAAGGAATAAGATAATGGATGAGAAGGTCCACATTCACACCTGGTCCTGTTCCTATTACCTCAACTCGGAGAAGCAATGGGTGTCCGGGAAACTCCTCCTGACGCCGGTTTCGGTCAAGTTTACCGCGGACAAATCTGGAGAGGTCCTGGCCAGCTTCCCCCTTTCCTCCATCAGCGAGATCAAGAAAGAATCGTCCACCTTGATCTTCAGTTCCCTCACCATTTTGGAAGGCAGCACCAAGCATTGGTTCAGCTCCCTCCAACCCAACCGGAACGTGATTTTCAACGTGCTGGAACACTTTTGGAGAGAGCAGCTGCTCTCGCCCGACGGGGCTAGGGCGCAGACGGCGTGCGTCCAGACCCCCAAGGGCAAGGAGTTGACCGGCTTGTTGATGGGGTCTCAGAAGCGTCTGGAAGATACCTCAAAAGTGCTGGAGCACCAGGGCGAACAGTTCGATAACATCATAAAAGGCCTGGACAAGATTGAGTCGGAGATGGATGTGGCAGATAGGTACGGCGGCACGCCAGGGGTTCTGATTGCGGCCAGGGGTGTGTGATCTGGGGGATCATCAAGATGGGGCGTAGGGTTGGCGGGGCGTAGGAGAACATCCGGAGGGTTTTCTTTGCATGGAGTCGTAGAGGACGCTCGTTGGCAGAAAGAACCCCTTCTCAAGAACCAGTGCAGAGCCACAGCTTAAAAGAGGTAAATTATTACCGTACTTAAATTCAAGAATACTTTCTCCTGAAACAATGGACGAACAGCTACATTGGGACAGGATCACAACTCAAGGCTGGTTTAATAGACGAAGGCCTCAGTTTACGACTGCGGTTGTGATGGGGAGACAGCCAGTTTGGGACAGGAGTTGAGGTGCTGGCCTAGAAATCGGGAGACTCTGAGTTCTAGTCCTGCCTTAGGCATGAAAGCCAGCTGGGTGAGTTTGGGCCGGTTACCTGGAGACGGTAAGTTCTAGTTTTAAATTAGGCATGAAAGCCAATTGGGTGACTTTGAGCCAATCATCAGGTGACGATGAGTTCTAGTCCCGCCTTAGGCATGAAATCTGGCAGGGTGACTTTGGGCCAATCATCAGATGACGATGAGTTCTAGTTCCACCTTAGGCATGAAAGCTGGGTGACTTTGTGCCAATCATCAGGTGACAGTCCCACCTTAGGCGTGAAAGCCATCAGGGTGACTTTGGGCCAATCACCAGGAGATAGTGAGTTCTAGTCCCGCCTTAGGCACGGAAACTGTGGGTGATTTTGGGCCAATCATCAGGTGGCAGTGAGTTCTAATCCCATTTTAGGAATGAAAACAGGCCAATCACCAGAGACAGAGAGTTCTAGTCCTGCCTTAGGCACATAAGTCGGCTGAATGATTTCAGGCCAGTCCCTCCTTCTCAGCCCAGCCCACCTCACAGGGTTGTTGTGGGGAAAATGGAGGAGGAAGGGGTGTTTGGACTCTTCACTGTCTTGAACTAGTTACAAAAATAATAAAGGTGGAATAATCTAATAAAAATCTAGTAGTTAAAAATCGTGGCGCTCGTTGACTGGAAGTGATTTTATTACCTTTTTTTGTGGTGTTATGAGAACGCCCCAGTTGTAAATGTGAATCCATTCATTCAAATGGCCATTTATTATTATTATTTTGCCAGAAAGTGACCAAAAAATAAATAAATCACGAATAAGCGATCGTGGCACTGCATAATGCTGTCACCGGCCATCAATATTACTGGTGGCTCAGTGCCCGACATCCAACCGTGTGACCCCTGGGAGTGGGCTGGTCATGTGACCATTTATGACCCATTAGTACCCTGGCATAGGAGGTGGGGGTCTTTCACTCCTAGTGAACTACAATTCCCAGCCGCTTCAGTCAGCCCTTTCAGCATTGAGGGATACCAGGCGTTCCTCTCCAGCACATCTGGAAGACACCTATTCCCTTCCTTGGACTTGTCATACTTTCTATGCGGGCCTTCATTAACTGACCAGACATAAACAAATTACGTCCTCGATTTACAGCAGTTCGTTTAGTGACCGTTCAAAGTTACAATGTCGCTGAAAAAAGTGGCCTAGGACCATGTTTCACATGACCATTTGGAGACTCCCCGTGATCAAAATTCACACATGACAAATGTATTACTTTAGCGACGTAAATTTTGGCCCCAACTGTGGCCGTAAGCCGAGGACTACCTGTACAGGTGGTCCTCCGTGTACGATCACAGTTGAGCTTCAAATTTCTGTTGCTTTTGTCCCAATTTACAATCTTTCTTGCCTCCGTCGTTAAGGGAACCATTTTAGTTGTGAAGTTAGTCACACGGTCATCAAGCGAACCTGGCTCCCCTCCCCATTGACTCTGCTTGTCAGAATGTCGCAAAAGGGGATCGCGTGACTCTGGGACGCTGTGACCGTCATAAATACGAGTCAGTTGCCAGCGTCAGAATTTTGATCACGTGACCGTGGGGAGGCTGCAACAGCCGTGTGAAAAACGATCCATAAGTCCCTTTTTTCAGTGTTGTTGTAACTTCGGTCACTAAAAGAATGGCCGTAAGTCGAGGACCACCTACATTTCTGATCTTTCTTCCTTTCCTCACAGGTTATTATCCGAACTCGAGTCTCCATCTTGGTGGCCTTTTGGTGGGAAACTCCCCGCCAAAGCCGTGTCCGAAGGAGGAAAAGCGACGGAGAAACCCGCGGCTCCGCTGTCCGGGAGCAAAGATGGCGTCCTCCTGCAGATCCCCGTCATTGTCACCGAGCGGGCCGACGCTCACGCCAAGCCGGGCAGCCTCGCCCTCTTAGTGTCCGGCCTGAGGATCTGCGGCGCCAAGGCCCAGCTGCTCCACTGGTTTGAGAAGCAGGACGTGGACGAGGTCAGAGTGCACAGCCCGTACGAAATCTGCGTCCGCCAGAGGTTTATCGGCAAGCCGGACATCTGCTACCGGCTCCTGTCGGCCAAGATGCCCGAGGCCATCCCGTTCCTGGAGATGCAGTTCAGCAAGAAGATCCAGTTCCTGCAGGATGCCGTGGGGCTGGCGCGGGCTAGGAGGGCCTCCCCGGAGGAGGCGGGGGGCTCCATCTGGCAGGCAGGTAGGTAAGAGACCCGGAAGGTGATCGGAATCTGATGAATAATAACGGAAGGAGTTGCATCTAGGAGCCAGGCGGGGGCTGCAGCCGCCAAAAAGGCCAGTGCAGTCCTAGGTTGTGTCAGCAGAGAAACGGCGTTAGCTAGTCCAGGGCTTTTCAACCTTTTCACCCATTGTGCCACTTTTAGGATATGGCAACATCCGAGTACCACCAGTCGCCTAGCAAGGTATCAAAAACTTGATGACACCCCCCCCCAAAAAGGAAAAAAGTGATAAAGTACAGGTAGTCCTCAACTTACAACAGTTCACTTAGTGACTTAGTTCGAAGTTACAATGGCTGGGTGGTTGCAGCAGGTTTTGGTCACATGATCCTGGGACACTGTGACCGTCATAAATATGAATCAGTTGCCAAGCATCTGAATATAAATCACAAGACCCTGGAGAGGCTGCAACATTCCAGCTGATCCTGGCACTTCTTCTGGGCTCAGCGGAAGCGTCAGGATCAGTGCTGCTTTCCAGCTGATTGGTGCTTGTTCAGGGCTCAGCAGAAGCACCAGGATCAGTGCAGAGCTCCAGCTGGAACCTGGCCCTGATCCTGGCGCTTCCGCTGAGCCCTGACAGCCCTGCAGCTCCAGCCGTCTCTCGCTCAGGCTTGTGCGGTGCTGCCACCGGTTCAGCTCATTCCCCTCCCCCTCCTACCACTTTTCTAGGATGGTCGCGTACCACCTGCCAGGTGCCAATGTACCCCAGGGGGTACCTGTACCACTGGTTGAAAAGCCCTGACTAGCCCTTGATTTACGTCCGTCCGTTTAGCGACCATTTATGGTTACAATGGCACTGGAAAAAAGCGACTTAGGACCATTTTTCACATGGCCATTGCAGCATCTGGCAACGGGTTTCATATTTACGACAGCGGCAGTGTCCTGGGGGTGTCACGTGATCTCCTTTTGACCAGCGAAGTCAATGGGGAAGCTTAACAATCCTGTTGTTAACACCTGCAGTGAGTCACTTAATGACAGTGGCTAAAAAAGGTTGTAAAGTGGGGCAAAACTCACTTAACAACCCTCAGCAGTAGAAAATTGGGGCCGAGTTGTAGTTATAAGTCAAGGACTGCCTTGTACTGATCAGGCTTGGTGGTTGATCGCCACCTAGTGGCTATTCTGAGTTGAAAAACCAACAAGGCTAAATTTTGGGGAAAGTCCAACCAGCCTCTCTAACCCTTCTTGCTGGATTGCTGTTAACTAACTTAACAACGGCAGTGATTCACTTAACAACTGTGGCAGGAAAGGTGGTCAAATGGGGCAAACCTCACTTAACAATTGTCCCACTTAGCAACAGAAATTTTGAGCCCAGTTGTGGTCAAATCGAGGGATTTCTGTACAGGAGCACCTAGGATGTTTCAAATATTCTTTTGACAATCTTTGGATGACGATTTAGCTCATAGACAACCATGGCTAACGGGTGTGTGTGTGTGTTGGCAGTGATGGTCTATTTTTGGAGCAGCTAAAAAGTTACTTTTCTCCTGCTACAAGATAAAGGCTATCAGTAGTCCTCAACTACTGTAAACGGCCTTAATGGAGCCTGCTCATTATGGTTAGAAATCATGACCGTCATAAAGCAGGTCACCACGTGATCAGGCTCATTTTAACGACATTTTTTTGCGGTGGTTGTTTAGCGAACAGGACACTCATTAAGCAGCCCTGTTGTTCACTATGGGGGGTGTAGTTGCCCAAATTTTGTATCATAAATTGCAATGTTTTAAAAATTAATTCTAATCCATCATTTTTAAAAACCTTCTAACATATTTTCCAAATTCTAAAAAGTGTAGGAAGAAAAAAAATTCTGGTCTGTTATGCTTAAAATAGGAGTTTTAGACCCTTAAAGCAAGCTGGGCATTAACAGACCATGTTCTGTTGCACCCTCTGCTAAAATTTCAGTAGAGCAAAGATTAGAATGCACTTTTTGTTGATCGGTGGCTGAAATTCGGGGCTCGGAAAAGGCTTGTTAATTTTTAAATTGAAGGAGTACTGGGCATCAGATGGTAAAGTGCCAGAACAACTTTTGTTCATTCTGGTTCAATTTACGATGCCATATAACAATTATTATTTAGTATATTACTAAATTTGTTATTTAGTAATAATTACTAAAAATAATTTCTACGTTGAGTCTTTTTTAGCTGCCCCTTGTGCATAAAATGGTTTGCCTTCATAACTTATAGTACTCTGATGTCCTTCCTTTCTGTCGTCATGCTTTAAGTCGCCAGCATCCATAAGGTAACAGCAATCTATCAAGAATGGCTAGATGTTGGCTTGTTCTCTTTCTGCAAAACTTAGGCTTGTCTTTTTTCAACTGAGAATTGCCACTAGGTGGCGATCAACTACTGCACCTGGATCATTCGGTATGCAGGTAGTCCTCGACATACAACCAAAATTGACCCCAAAAATTCTATTGCTAGGCAATACAGCTGTTAAGTGAGTTTTGTAACATTTTACAACCTTCCTTGCCATACTTTTCCAGCGAATTGCTGCAGTTGTTAAGTTAGTCACACGGTTGTTAAGCGAATCTGGCTTCCCCCGTTGACTTTGCTTCAGTTGGCAGTGTGAATTTTGATCACTTGGCCACAGGGATGCTGCGGTGGACATAAGTGTTGAAAACCGTCAAATCACTCTTTTCAGTGCCATTGTAATTTGGTCACTAAACGAATAGTTGTAAGTTGAGGACTATCTGTATGGATACATTTGTCTGTGTGTATGTGTATCTCTCTGTCTCTCTCTCTATATAGATGGATGGATGGATGGATGGATGGATGGATGGATGGATGGATGGATGGATAGATAGATAGATAGATAGATAGATAGATAGATAGATAGATAGATAGATAGATAGATAGATAGATAGATAGATAGATAGATAGATAGATAGATTATAAATATAGATATAGATATACATAGAGAATTATATACATACACATATATATATGTATACACATACATGCACATATACAGTATGTGTGTGTGTATACTCCCAGAAGCACGAAGCTGAAGACACCAGCCTGAAGATGACGAATGTGACTTCGTCGAAACGTCGCCAGGACACTTCCAATTCTACACGGGAGAAAACCCGAATGACCAAAGACCTACATAGTGTGTGTATGTATATATAGAGAATATATATATTCTGTGTGTATATATATGTATGTATGTATGTTATGTATTTATGTATGTGTGTAGATAGATGGAAAGAAAGAGAAAGAAAGAAAGAAAGAAAGAAAGAAAGAAAGAAAGAGAGAAAGAAAGAAAGAAAGAAAGAAAGAGAAAGAAAGAAAGAAAGAAAGAAAGAATAAAGATAGTATTTCCTCAGGTATTTCACTAGTAACATATTTTGTTTTTCTAAAAGAGGTTAGGACAGGGTTCAAGCTGGCAAATTTGATTGGATTCATCTTTGATTTTTATCTTTTATTTTGATCCACCTCCCCACAGCCAGTGAGAGAGGCTTTTCACGGGACCTTGCGTGAAGAAACACATATGTGTAAATTCTTGCTGCTTAGCCACGGAGGGTCTCAGATTTAATGCAGAGCCATTTGTAGCCAGACAAAGAGCAGCGTGACTTGCGAACATCGCTCTGGAAAAGAGGCCCCCGACTTAAGCTGGGAAATGCAGTCATTTAATCTCTTGAAACAAGCAGACTTAAGCCAGCTTCTCCGCTGGCCAGGCACCCCCCTGGCTGATGGATCCGATTTATACTCTGCCTTTTCTCTGAGGACTTAAGGCAGATCACGGGGGGGGGGATTCACCCCCTTCCCCAACAGCCCCGAGGGGGCACAGAGACACTGACTGACCCGATCGTACAGCCGATTTTTCCCGCTGGTTGTTAAGTGAATCGCCACGGCCATTGAGTGAGTCTGCAGCTGTTAAGCCCATGCTGCAGTGTCTTTGCCAAAAGCCAGAAATAAGGGTCTTTTTATGGGGGAGGGGCCCGTCGTAACTTTGAATGCTCACTAAGCGACCGGTTGTAAACTGAGGACTACCTGCATAAGTTTTTTTTCCCACCATGTCAAATTATACGCAGGTGGTCTTCGACTTACGACCACAATCCAGCCCCATGTTTTCATTGCCAAGCCAGATAGCTGTCAAGGCCCCATTTTACGACCTTTCCTGCCACAGTTGTTAAGTGAATCTCTGCAGTTGTTAAGTGAGTCACAGGTTCGTGGAAGGTCACAAAAGGGGATCCCATCACACACACACACACACACACCCTGGGGACACTGCCACCGTCGTAAACGTGAACCGATGAATTTTGATCACACGATCTTGGGAGATGCTGCAACGGTCGTAAAATGTGAAAAATCAGTCCCCCACTACCACCTTTCCCCCCCCCCACGCCGTCGGAACTTCAGACGGTCACTAAATGGAGGAGGAAAGGGAAGTTTTACACCTGTACCGCTCAGCTGGCAGGCTTCGGGCCGCGTTAAATTTAGACCGGCATCCATGTCTCCCCTTGTAGCCGCGATGCCCCAGGTTCCCCCCCCCCCTGTTTGTTGCGAGGACCGAATAATTCCAGGGGATTAAGAGTCTGTGGTAATTAACTCCTGGGGGGAGGGGAGGCCTGGGGAGGGGGGGGGAGGTTTGTATTTTTAGCTGCAGCTTTTGTGTCTGCCTTTTCCATTAAGTAACACAATCCCGAGCTGACACCAGGCCAATGTTTCTGGCATGGGGCCTCCAAGACCTGAGTGAGCGTCAGCGTTTCAGCCTGGTTTCAGCCTGGTTTCTGGCCTAGAGCCCGGCAGCTGTCGCGGTGGAGGTGGGGCGGGGGGGGGGGGCTTTGGGGCAGGGGGCAGCTTCCTCTAAAGGAGGCTCTTTCCCCCCCCCCCATCCTCCCCGCCTCGGCCCCCAGCCCAGAATATCCTGTTTCCAGCAGAGACCCTGGCCATAGAGAGGCAGGGTGCGTGTGTGGTGAGTGTGCCTCAGTGAGGAGTCCACCCTTTACAGCTCCTCACTGCA